GTCATATCCCACCCTTCAAACCGAAACACAGCCATGCAAACACAACTGCTTTACGGTTGAAACACGAATGGGACAGAGGTACCCGAGCAAACGACTTTTGTACAAAGTCTACCTCTAGTCTCTGACTAACCCATCAGGAGTTAAGGTAGTGGGCATTTTATTCATTACCTATACGAAATGTTGAGTTCATCTGAGAGGAGGCCGATTGTTTTATATTAAATACGGGTAGTTTGATCTCATGTAGAAATCCGGCCGATGTGGTCACGTGATAAGTTTATACGGACAGACTGCGTCCGCCGACCGCCGCCAGATGGCTTCCATCGGATACAATTACAAATCTAAATTCATAATTATCAGCACAGGCGTTTTTATAATTATTTTGCAGTGTTTTTTTTTAATGGGTGATAATGGAATGGTAACTCCATCTGCGCTATCAATATACACCTGCTTGTCTGCCATTCTAAGTTGTATAAAAAAAAAACCAACGCATTGTCATTTACCTAAATATTGTTTCGAGGACTAAGTTATCGCTCTATTGTCCAAGGCGACTACAGGGGCGTCCATAAATGTGTACACCGGTTTGGCAAAGTCTCACCACATCTCATTTATAAAGAGAAGAATCAATGAATACTACATGTTAAATTTTTATCTAATAATACATAAGAAATAAAAGTAAACAATTTCGATATAACATACGTTTAATTATTTAAAATCTCATTGGTAATATCAATATATATTAAACAAATACTTTGAAAAGAAAAAAATATAAATACATAAAAATTGTTACATTTTAACTATATTTAATAATGTATAAATACCTATAGAAATAAAAAATATAAATAGAAATAACAAAAATATTTATACAACAAAAGAAAAACACAAAAAGAAACGAAAAAAAAATATTATATAGAATCTTTCTTAAAGCATTTGCTACAATTATTTAAAATAAGTAAAATTACATTACATTTTAACTTCAATTTATAATTCAATTTATTGATATTGTATTTACATATAAATATTTAAAGTTTGTCGTATTTATCATAATGAATGTATAAATAAATGTGTCTCAATTTCAACATACCACTAAAAATACAATTTCATTATTAAATGTTCATAATTTCATACACATACAATATTTAACTCATATAGTATAGACATCACTGCAATCTAGCGATTGCATCTGCTTACTGTAAGTATAGTGAGAGTTTACTGTATACGACTTTGCTATAATAAACTCTATACTTCTTAATACAGTCGGTAGATGGCGCCAGTTACTACGCACATCCATTATTATTCTGGTTGAAATTTAAATTGGTATTAAAATAAAAATAGATTACAAAGATACACTTTAGTATTTATTTAAGTGTAAAACCGAACTTTTAATGCTGTGTTAAATTAAATATAGTATTTTTTACACAACAATACTCACCTAAATATTAATAAGATAAAAATCTTAATTTTAAAGTTAAAATTGATATTTTAATTGCATTTTAAAATATGAAAAACCTATATTTTTATCACAAAATTTGTAAGCGTCTGCAATAAATTTAACGATACAAAAGCATCATTAAAATATTTTAAATAGATATAAAGAGATAACTCCAAAAAATCACCTGCTTCTTTTGTAATCTATAAATAAGTAGAGCGAAGACGTGACAGTGGCATTTCTATAAGGTAGCAGCGTAGTGAACTGAAGTAAGGTATTATACTTAGGACTCTGTTTTGTTTTTAATTTTTTTTTTTTCATATCACTTCATTTGCCAACTATGACAAGTTTACAAAATATTAATATTTTTACTGTTGCTGAGTTGCTAATTGAAATATGAAATTTTACAAAATAACATTGCTAAGGCCGTTCATTATTAGAATGATTCACCCCATCATTAGCGTAGACACCACTAGACGGCTGCCTCCTGCCTGCGGTGTGCTCGGACACACACGGTTTCCGTATTCTGCCCTTCACGGCGGAACCATGAATTATATGACCATAATAGGACGTCATTATCCGACGCAGCGCACATTATGACGTTTCACAATAAAATTAAACAACTCTTTGTTGTCGAATGAATTACATTTTCCCATGTATTCGGCCCGCTAACGTGATTTACCGTGGCCCGGGTGGAACAAAAGTTTGTAAAGTAACTCATTATTTCAATGATAGAGGCAGGGAGGGAGGAGGGAATCGCCTGAGAGAATGTTCTCGAATAATTATTATACTAGCAGTGTAAATCCTGACATAGAATAGGTCACCCCCTCCTTTTTATACAACTTAGAATGGCAAACAAGCTGACGGCCCACCTGATGGAAAGTAGTAACCGTCGCCAATAGACATGGGCAATACCATGGACATAACAGAGTATACTGTTTCGCCCATGATACACCCCGTGCGTTGCCATTCCTGAGGACTAAGGTGTTATTCCTTTGCACCCTGTAAATTCACTGCCATATCCCACCCTTCAAACCGAAACACAGCCATGCAAATACAACTGCTTCGCTGTAGAAACAAGAATGCGATAGAGGTGACCAAGCAAACAACTTTTATACAAAGTCTCCCTCTGGTCTTGGTCCTTTCTCGTACGTGTTGTAAGAGGCGACTAAGCTCTCTTACAACTTAGGTGTTATTCCTCTATACCCAGTAAATTCACGCAGTTTTAATTCAGATTCACATTCAGTTGCACATCAAGTGTTCCATGGATTCCGATTTGTCCCCGCACAGTCTGCAGTGTGTCCGAAGATAGACCCATCTTGTGTAGTATATGCCTTATTGACATATGTTAGGGCACCCATAGCAAGCAAAAGTTAATTACAGTTATAAAATTTCATGTGAATAACATGCAAAATTTCAAATAAAACTTGTTTTTTACTCGCCACTTTGCACAATGTCTCCACCTGGGGTATGGGATTGTTGGTAATGGAGTCTAACTGACCCATTTTCAGCAATAGAAAAATGACCTATTAGGTCAACCTCCACGTGGTCCCCCCTGGAAACCATCGTGGTTAATTCTAGTGGAATTCGTCACGATGGGCGGTCATGACGAATTTCACTAGAATGATGAATAGGTAGATCGACGTGATCAGGTCAGTTACCCTGCTTTTATCGTCACCCATCATCCCTCACTTGTGTCCTGCCAGCGTAAACCGATAGCGCAGGTGGAGTTGCCCTTCCATTATCACCCGTTAAAAAAATGTCTCCCCCCGCTTTAAATTTATAATAAACATAAAAATAAGTTTATTAAAAATAATAAAAATAATCTTTAATTGTACGGTTATTACCCTTGTACATTCTACAGTTTTGTTTCAGCTTCTCAAAGGTTGACTGTAAGAGATCCCTTTATGGGATAAGTCCGCCATTGTACATTAAATCATTTATCAGTGTTCAATGTGAATTATTTACAATAAATATTTTACAAGACAATAAGTTTAATGACTCTAATCATCCTTTAGGGATCATAGTCGTGGACATGTTTATTTTTTTAGATTAAATTAAGACAATAAAAAAAAATTACGAATGTTATTTTCATCTCCAATTAAATTCGCTAAATGAAGTCGTCCGTTTGAATAACTCTGTCCCATTCGTTTTTTTGCCGTGAGGCGGCTGGGCTCGTATGACTGTGTCTATACACATTTTTTTTTTATGGGTGAAAATTGTATGGTAACCCCGCCTGCGCTAACGAGATACGCTGGCGGAGCACCAGTGAAGGGTGATAGATGAGAATGAAAACAGGCCAGTTAGCCCATCATGATGAATTCATCAGAAATTAACCATGATAGTTTCCAGGGAACACCGCGAGGAGGTCGATCTGGTTGGGTATATTGCCAGCAATGGCATTCTCAGTCTCCATTACTAACAATCCCTTTCACCCTCTATACACATATGTGAATATGGTAGTGAAAATAGCAGCACTTAATTACCATGGGTATCAGAGAGTATTCAGGGATGTTCATGGTGCTATTTCATGTCTACAGGCAATAGCTTTCTTTCAAGTATGTAGCTTGTTTACCATTCTTTGTTGCAAAAAAATATTCTTTGCTCATCACTATTTTTATTATAATAAAAAAAATTAACGCAATCTAGGTCATAAAGCCTTAAAAAGTGTTAAAGGCCAAACCAAAAATCATTACCACACCATCACGATTTAAATTTCTTTTTAGGTGGCTGACCATTTTATTTATAGAAGTTTCTACCTAACAAACAATTACAAAACATTAGGTGCATATTTGTATATAGGTATGTATTTTTACATTATTAATCGTCTTGTTTATTCCCTATATTGTATAATGCAAATGAAGTATACTCATTCATTCTTTTTTTTTTATACCACTGAGGTGGCAAAAAAGCATACAGCCCACCTGATGGTAAGCGGTTACCGTAGGTTATGAACCAGGGATATTAAGCGCGCGATGCTGACTCTAAACCCTAAACCTCTTTACCCATTTTTTCGTGGAACTCCATACTTTAGTCTCTTAGAAAGACCTCGACAAGGAGCTCATTCCATAACCTGAGCGTAAAAAACATTTCTTAAAAAGCGACTATCTAGACTGTAGGGTATGAGGTCGAACTCCCTCAGGCTAATATTATGCAGATTTCCAGGCTTTCAGATCAACCACCATGGTGAATATTTTGGGTATTAATATACAGGAGAAGGACACTAACATTATAGATGTTATTTATCTTAAAACCAACTAAACAAATATAGCCTTGACTAAGAAAAAAGGATAGGTCTTGAAGTCATTGTGAGAACGTGATAGTAGATGCTCCCTGTTTTCACAGACGAAAAAACTGTGGTCTTTCTATTTTATGGCCCTTATCATCTGTCTCTGCGACTTTCCTTTGCAATTTAATTGTATTTATGGAAATTATAAACTAGAGTAAATACTTATTTAGACCAAAGTAAATAAGTAAAATGAAAAAAAAACTCTATTACTTTTTATCTTTTCTAAATATAAGCATTCAAGGTCTTGTAATGAGATTTAAATAAACACGCAACCACATGATTAAATGTGTTTCAAAAACCATTATTTTATTGTACACTTATAAATAAATACAGTAAGCACATAATCTAATATCACAGATACAAAATCACAACGTGAACAAAAAACAACTGTTGCGTTTAACACATATCCATGCAATAAACGATATAATTTCATGTTCATACAGTCACACAACCAAACAAAAATATTAAAACTTAAAACACAATAACAGAAACTATAATTTAATTGACTATGTTATAATTGAAACCATGAAAATATGTCGAAAGGGTTGAACACTTGCACATGAGTATCTGTCTTTTGTTGTATCCCATTATTTGACTTATAAAGGAACATACCCCGAAAATTAACACTACACGAGTATCCCATCGCTGTCTCATTGCCAGTACAGTATCCATTCATCAGTTGCTCCCAAGTGTAACATTTTCGGGCCATCAGAGATCGCTCGTTTATCACCGAAGCCGCATACAGCCTCCAGGCTTGCGCGTGGTCGCACTCCAGAGTAATGCTCCGGTCTCTACATTCAGGCTGCTTTACCGACACCCCATTTACATAAATATCCGCATCTCCTACTGGTTGCTCGAGCCCTAGTACTCCAGCACTAGAATGCACCACCTGAACGAAGTCCGCATCTGATCTATTTAGCCGGTAATCAGAGGGCCTCATGAAACATGGCCTCGCCGGGTCCAGAGCTATGATCCTCCCTAGCCTTCCATGTAAACTCCTTTGTACTAACTTTCCTGTCATGCCAGCTACATGAGCCCCCAAACTGAAACCTATAAGATGGATAGACGATAAAGGATATCCTTGTTGATGTACTTTTGTTATGAAGCTGTGCAGGAGGTGAGCTAATGCTTTCACCCGGGATGCAGACGCGATGTAGCCTCGCCGAAAAATAGGTCTCGTGTCGACAACTAACACTATGGGGTTTTTGTGAAGGAGAGCCGTCACTAGGGCTTCAGAGGATTCATCTGTAGGGGTGTTCCACCATCCTGGGATGTATATTATGAGTAACGGTGGAGGTGGATGGTCACGCAATCGCTGGTGAGCTGCAGAAATCTTGTACGCTCGTGTGCTCTCCCGTGTAAATTCCACCATGTCGAGGAATGGTATCTCAGATGTGTATCGTCGAGAGAACAGCAGCTCCAGAGGTAGAATGTCACCTGTGAAAACATTTATAAAAATCTTAAACTTAATAAAACTCTAACAATGAATACGCGGAATCAGCCTAGACCGATTTATCTAGGAGAGAGAGGTTAATTAGTAAGCGTTACTAGTAATTCCATTATTAGCAATATTTCCTATCAGGTCTTCCTTCCTCTATACGACTCTCTCGGCAATCATCGTAGTAACTTTTTTATGATACTTTACTCATCAAGATAAGAAAGAATTTTTGAAATAGCATTCTTTTGAGAGTTTAAAGTTTGTATTAAAATTTCGAAGCGATTTCGTCAGTGACTGCTGCATTTTAAATTCTTATTACAGCAATACGAACCTACAGTTGTACGTATATTATTATTTGGTGAATGAATTAAAACACAAAAATAATCAAAACATTAATTTACTTATTGTTCACTCGTATTTCTCAGTAATGTTAATTGAGCCGTATTCTGCATGATATTGAAATTGATTGACAACGATCTTGATGGTGTAGCGGTTTAACACACTACTTCACTTTTGTATCCATTGGTTTAAATGATTTTGTTTTTTATACAACTTACAATGCCAAACAAACTTACGGCCCATCTGATGGAAAGTGATAACCGTCACCTATAGACATGCGTAGTATCATGGATATAACAGAGTATACTGTTTCGCCCATGATACCCCCCATGCGTTGCATTCCTGAGGATTTAGGTGTTATTCCTCTGTACCCTGCAAATTGACGCCATATCCCACCCTACAAACCGAAACACAGCCATGCAAACACAACTGCTTTACGGTAGAAATACGAATGGAATAGAGGTATCCAAGCAATCGACTTTTGTACAAAGTCTCCCTCTGGTAAAAATTCCCTTTCTACTACTCATGTGATGGTGGCACCAATACCTACATACCTTGATATCATGAGAATCGAGAGCTCTAAACTACCTTTTTCTATATACAAATGCCTCTCCTGTGGTTTAGAGGTTTAACGTCAAAGACAAGTAACGATCACTTCAATTTAAACGTAAGTTAATTTGCTCCTTTTGCAGAGCAAAATCTTAGGTTACTGAATAAAAATCTTATATGATAATATCGAACTTCAAATTCTTCCATCAGTAAATTAACACCACTGTACCCCATACCCAGCTTACGGAGGTGACGTCAATAACTGCATTGATGGTATAGCTATGGCTTCATACATTTGTCAACTTATGCCAGAAGCCATAGTTGAACGAACAAACGAAGAGAGTTCTTTACACTTTGTAACATCGGCAATAAAATTAATCTGCTGTATCTATCTACGTCTCACTAGAAAATTATTACATGATAATGATTATAAAAAATATATATATATATATATATTAGGAGTACAAATAAGTTTCCGCCGTTTTTTAACACAAATTAAATATTTATTATAGAAGAACGGTAATATAGATTTATATAAAATATTGCCCATCACTTGCAACCACTTTTTCCCATCTCTCAGGCAGCATTCGAATTCCACGTCTGAAGAACTCCTTGTCTTTTGAGGCTATCCACGAATCAACCCAATTTTTGGTATCCTCATAAGATGTAAACCGCTGCGTAGTCAGAGCATGTGCCATGGACCGAAACAGGTGATAATCGGACGGTGCAATGTCTGGTGAATACGGCGGGTGGGGTAACACTTCCCAATCAAGTGTTTCCAAGTACTTTTTTACGGGAGCCGCAACATGTGGACGAGCATTGTCATGCAGAAGAATAATTTTTTCGTGTCTAGAATAGTATTGAGGGCGTTTTTCTTTCAGAGCTCGGCTCAATCTCATCAATTGTGTTCGATAGAGGGCTCCAGTAATTGTTTCGCTCGGATTAAGCAACTCATAATACACTACACCTAGCTGATCCCACCAAATACACAGCATAAGTTTTTTTCCGTGAATATTCGGTTTTGCTGTTGATGTTGACGCGTGGCCAGGTAATCCCCATGATTTTTTTTAATTTGTGATTTTTAATGGATTGTCATAATGTATCCACTTCTCATCACCAGTTACGATACGATGTAAAAAAATTGAAACCCTTTTTTTTTATGTCTAGCTAGCAGCATTTCACTTAAGCATAATCGGCGTTCAATATCTCTCGGCTTTAATTCGTACGGAACCCAATTTCCTTGTTTATGAATCATTCCTAATGATTTTAAACGATGTGAGACTGCTTGCTGAGTGACTTCTATATGTTAGAGCAAGTTCTTTTTGTGTTTGAGATGAATCCTCCTCCAATAATTCCTCCAATTCTGCATCCTCGTAAATTTTTGGCCTTCCACTGCGATCTTTGTCTTCTACGTCGAAATCACCGTTTTTAAACTTTTGAAACCACTCTCGACACGTTCTCTCACTCAAAAAACACTCACCATATCTTCTACGAGCAATTGATGCGCCTTAGCAGCAGATTTCTTTAAATTAAAGAAGTAAATTAATATTTCCCGCAAATGACGCTTATTTGGCTCAAATTTTGACATTTTCAAGTTATAAAAATTATATTTTACCAATATCAAATCAATAATATTAATAGGTTATGTTGGTCTTGAATGTCGAAACTATTTTTTAAGCCGGTTATCATCTGCGAAAGCTAACCGAAACTCCGTGCCGCGCCATCCACAATAAAACGGCGGAAACTTATTTGTACTCCTAATATTAATATTTAATTTAAACAACAGTTGTCATCGTTATTCGAATTATTCATACATCTATATTATATTTGTATTAGTTTCTGTTACATACTAACATAATCTTGCCATGTCGTCCCGGCATATAATGGACCACTCCTTCCTTTCCGTAGGTGTCGTAAAAGGCGACTAATATAGTGGTAGAGGGATGGGCAGCAGTGTCCCTTTTATAACATGACCAAAACCTTTTTTTACAACACAGGGGGCATGCAGCTCACCTGATGGTAAATGACTACCGCCGCCCATGATCACCCACAACACCAACGGCATTGCAGGTGCGCTGCCGACCTTTTAAAAAGGAATATGCTCTTTTCTTGAAGGTTATGATGTCGTATCGGTTCGGAAATACTGCATGTAAAGTATATAGTGTAAGGAAGAAAGTGCTTAAAAAACGAACGGTGGAAGACCTCCACTCATCCGGATGGTTGGGATGAAACTTTAATTTATGGCAGGTTATACAGTGGTGAAAATTACCAGCTGGTATCAATTCGAACAATTCCTCAGAACACTCCTAACTGCGGTTGCCAATCCGCCTGCCAAGCGTGGCAACTACTGATAAACTCCCCCCCCCCCCCCAGGGGTGGCACATAGTTCAGCAGTGGACAGTTAACGGCTCATACGATAATGATACATGTCGCAACCTGATCTTAGAATTGGTCAGTTCATAATATGGCCAAACATTCCATGAAATGTAAATCATAATATTTCATGTAAAATACCCGCTACAAACATCATGATGTAGTCCGGCCAGATCAATGAAAAATAAGTTTTAAATGGCCATATAATGCAAGACAACCATTCATGAAATGATCGGTCACACCATAAGAACAGAACGACTTTATTTCCCTAAACAAAATTAGCCTATGGTACAATAAAATTATCCTATGGTATAATATATCTATGATTCCACACTAGGCAAAGCCTGTAGTATCGTGGTCTCGTGGAAGTCGAAGCAAGAAATTTAACAATTATGATTAATTTGTGATTGTATAAAAATGTATAATGTATAAAAAAATCATGAAGTGATCAATTCTAAAATCTGACCGTCATGGTCAGATTTTAGATTTATATACAAAATTGAAACCTTATTTTTTTAACTGTCTTAATTCTATTCTATTAACTCTACAATTCCGAGAATTAAATTAAAATATATTTTTAGCGGTTAACAGCCTACAAATATAATTGACTACCTATTTAGGGATTATAGCCGTGAATATATCTTTTTATGATATAAAATTAGTGCCACAAAAAGTAAATCAATCGTAAACAAATTAACATTATAAACATGGAAGTACAAACTATTGATTGACATATACACATATATATTATATGGCATACAGTCATATATATGTCAATATTAAAATCCTCTCTGAATTCTCGACGTATTCGCGCAAAATACAAGCAATAAAATATTGTAAATCGCTTTTAAACAAGGAGTAGAATTAAAATGAGAAGAATTTATAAATTTGCCTTTACAAGTGTATCTATAGTTTTTATTTTAATACAATTTCGCATGAATCACAAGCTTGCAGTTTGATTAATGAAAAGTAGTGTATATGTGCTTAATCATCAACTGTAAGCATAAACTTCACCACGGATAGAAAACACTGCGACGCGCATGGTATCTCTCATACGTTGCCACTCCTGAGGATTAACGTGTTACACCTCCCCACTAATTCACTTATCCCACTGTCATATCCCATGCTCCTATCCAGAACACATGGCCACTATCACTAATTTAGAGGAAAAAGGATTGTTAATAATAGAGTCTAACTGCCCCATTTACTCTATTAGATTGACCTTCATGCGTTTCCCATGTAAACCATCGTGATTAATAATCGTTGAATTCTTCACGATGGGCCAACTGACTTTCTTCATCCTCACTTATCATCTCTTACTGGTTCCTTGCTAGTGTATATTGATAGCACACTCGGAACCACTATTTGTTTGGACCATTTAACGACATACGACTTACAGCTTACAGGGATAGGTTCTGTGCACTATAAGCCACTACTTGTATCCTTCCCATGTGACCGATCGTTGGATCTATTTCTATTGTATATTTCTTACTTTTATTATCGTGTCTATCCTATATATTTATCACTGTTTTATAAATTATACTTATATATTTATACATAACATCTTTACCACACATGTGTCTGTGAGTTACGTATTTAGAGCCTACTGAAAATCAGTGTCGTAGCTTCAGATTTGAAACTGCGACATATGCTGAGTTAGGTCCTTTGCACAAACATTGCTATTTCATTTTCATCCATTAAAAAAAAATTATCACAAATTTAGTTTCACACACACAGCATCACCCTAATCACAAACACGTACAACTGTCAGCTGCCGCCTTCACGAGCTGCTCGAAGTTGTTGGCAATGAACGGCGGCAGCGCCGCCCCGAGGATGTCCAGCGTGTCGCCGCCAGCATCAGCAATGACGTACAGCACCATCAGCAAACCACTGGCGGCCGCACTCGCGCGTCTCATCGCTCACACTGCACCCGCGTTTGCATAACCGCTAATATAAACAATGAGATTTTAGGTTACCCTTGATACCGCATCATACGCCACTTTATATGGCCAATGTGATTTAATGCGTGCACTCGCATCGCTTCCGATGATAAATATGGCTCCACTAATTCATATTTGTTCACGGAAATCGTGACGAAAAAGTCCTTATTAAAAGTTTAATTATTCATATTTTTGTTTATATAAATAAAGACCAAACTGTATCGTTTGCAAACGATCGCTTCCGTAATTTAAATTTATGCGAAATTGACGATTTTTCTTGTTGTTTATATCGTGCATTAATGTTCATACTGAAATATATTTCAATACTAATGCTACTACTGTTTGTTTTCATTAAATATACTTATTATATAAAGGCTAAAATACTCAGTGTGGCAGTTAAAAATTAACCTAATGCGCTTCATGATTAAGTTCTCTTTATGTCGATTGCAAATGCGTGATAAGAGATATTAAAAACAAACGAAACACTAGTATCGCTAATGGTTACATTTCTCTGTACGTAAGTGGAAATATAGAAGTTATTTTAAAACTCTCTCACTAAGCATTACTGTATCTAACTAGCATTAGGTAATAGTACTCGAGCCACTGAAACTGCGTAGTGATGTTGCATCTCTGTGCGGTTTCTACCGAATTTATCACCGTGCATTTTTCAAGCAACTTTCTTCACGCACAACCACTCTTTTCAATCAACTTCCAGCAGCAGTATTTTCAATACGACATCGTAACCTTCAAGAAAAGAGCACATTCCACTTTAAAAGGCCGGCAGCACACCTGCAATGCCGTTAGTATTGTGGGTGATCATGGGCGGCGGTAGTCACTTACCATCAGGTGAGACGCATGCTCGTTTGTCCCCTGTGTTATAAAAAAAAAACTACCATAATATTCATAAAGTTTGTAGTATTTTTCACGACTCAATATCGTACATACAATGTACAAGTAAATTTAATACTTATAAATTTGCGTATAAGATTCATTCTAAATGTATCTTTACCATAAAGGTGACCAAAGTATTTAATTAACATTTAAAATATTTGTAATTTCTATTATGAAGCAATGTTACGTTCGAATCATCCATTAATTAACACTAAAATAAAACACCTTCAAGTATATATATATATATATATTATATATATATATATATATATACATATATATATATATATATATATATATATATATATATATATATATATATATATATATATATATATATATATATATATATATATATATATATATATATATATATATATATATATATATATATATATATATATATATATATATATATATATATATATATATATATATATATATATATATATATATATATATATATATATATATATATATATTTTTTATTGCATTAGCAATTAATAACGAACTTATCTCTAAAAGAGATTTCTTCCAGTCAACCTAACGCAGTGGCATAGGAAGTAGTGAGTGGGCAGTAGTAGTGCAAGACAGAAATTAAAATAAATATTTACATAAATTATAAATCATTATATATGAAATATACAATATTAATACATACATATGAATATAAACCTACATAAATAAGAACATATATACACACAAACACACACACACATACATAATATATATACATATACACATATATATACACACATACATACCTATATACATATGTTAAATACAACATATAAATATCAAATAAAAGAGAGCACAATGATGACAGTCTTCTAATCATTTTTTATATTTAAACAAAATTGGAAACATAGAAGATAGATTTTAATCAACTATATTAAATCACTTTAAGCTTATATCGGAGATGAAATATATAATTGTAACAAACAATATAGTAATGACCATAAAATGACGCATGGCAATGCTGCAACACACTGTAACCATCACCGGCAGCGACCTTCGGCCCTGCGCTTGCTCTGACCGCCGCCTCGGTTGACCTTCACCTGCATCCATCTTCTTTTGCCATGACTGTTCGTAGCCGCTAAGAGACTTATTACGCTGTCCTATATATTGTATTGTATGCTTATTCGTATGATAGATAGATAGATATAAAACAGAACAGTGCCAAATAGCAATCTCATAAATTGTTCTTATTGGCTCGGAAACCTATATTCTTAGTTTTTTTTTTTTTTTACATATATACATATCTGTCACGCCTGTCTCCCATTAGGGTAGGCAGAAACAATGGAACGCCAAATGCTTCGATTCAAACAAACCTCTTTCGCTTCTTCCACATTCATCAATCTTTTCATACACGCTCGCCGGTTACGGGTACTTTTAATTTGGCCCTTCTTCAGCACGTCGCCTACTTGGTCAACATACGTCCGTCTAGGGCGGCCCCTGCCGACATCTCCATTTTTTTTTTATGGATGATAATGAAATGGTAACACCACCCGCGCTATTGGTATACACCGGCGGGGCACCAGTAAAGGATGATAGGTAAGGATGAAGCGGGTCAGTTAGCCCATCGTGACGAATTCAACAAGAATTGTTCACGATGGTTTCCAGGGGGAACCGCGTGGAGGTCGACCTAACGGGGCATATTGCCAGCAATGAGGCTATCAAACTCCATTACTAACAATCCCTTGCCCCCCATATATTCTTAGTTATCAGCACTCACTTAGCCCCACCAGCTTAAAGTGCAGGCTGAGTATCCCATTTTCAAATCATTACAAACCAGTACCCTAGAGAGATCACTCGCTGACAGGTCGTGGTACTCCCTGGAGACGTGATGAATTTAATTCCAATAAATTTTAATATTGATTGACCTAACTTTAACCTCGTCATTTTTATCTTCTTCTAGACCTCTGGTACTGTACACCATTGCCATAAGCAGAATGGATGCACTGTTCCTTAAACTCTGTATGCAAGATATTGTTTTTTTCATTTACAGGATACAATGGCATAACACCTTAGTCCTCAGGAATGGCAACGCATGGGGGGTACCATGGACGAAATGGTATACTCTGTTATGTCCATGGTGCTGCTCATGTCTATAGGCGACGGTTACCACTTTCCATCAGGTGGACCGTCAGCTTGTCTGTCATACTAAGTTGATTAAAAAAAAATCATGGATAAAGTTGTGGATTAGAGTTTGTTTCCTCTTAAATTGTTATTTTGATCGTGATCTCTCATGTCTGACAGTGCAATAAGACCCTAATTTACATTGTGAACAAGCCCACGCACCGCGCACCACGGGCCTAAATTGTACCTAATTGTGCCGATGAATGGTCAAAAGTGTCATGATTTAGTATTCAAATATTACGTTCTGATGTTACTATGTCACGTTATATGCGTGTCACAATACTGGACAGATTATTTTAATGGGTGATAATGGTATGGTAACCCCGTCTGTGCTATTGGTATACACTGGCGGGCCACCAATGATAGATGACTGATGAAGATGAAAGTAGGTTAGTCAGCCCATCCTGAAGAACTCAACTAGAATTAGTCACGATGGTTTCCAGGGAAAACCACGTGGAGGCCGACCTGACAGGGTATATTGCTAGTAATGGGACTATTTGACCCCATTACTAACAATCCCTTTCCCCCTACTGGACAGATTATCATGGTAATGTAAAATTAAAGGTATGCATTGTGTACACCTACAAGTAGATTGGTAGGAAGGTATTGCTAAAAATAGCAATGTCAGGTGACTGCGTAGTCTACCGGGAAACCATCGTTTGCTATTCTTGGTAAAATTTCTCACGATTCGCAAATGACTTCCTCAATCTCTTATCATCTCTCACTGGTGCTCCGCCATCATGTACCGTTAGCACGGGGTCACAATTACATTAACATCTATTTAAAAAATCTGGATTTTTTTATGAAAAGTATAAACTAAAAGCCTTTTATTCGTATGTATGAACAGCACCAAAGACATCAAAGAATATACAGTAATGAAACCCTTCATGCGTTGCCATTTCTGAGAACTAGGTATTATGCGTCCGTACCCTGTAATTTCACTGCCTTATGTATACGTGCAGGTACAAAAACAATTAGAAGTCCACATAACCAGATGGCGTGACAGTGCACGATCTTTGAGCACGTGAACAGTGTCACGGGAATTGTGAACGAATACAAAATAATAACGGTTCGTTATAATTCACGAATCGTCGTTGATGTATCTCGACAATGCACTCACACAAAGCGGATTTTTCGAAGGACAATGCACCTGAACTGTTTGAATTTGACGCTGCTGATGAAATAGTAACAGAATGATTCACTCAAACGTAGTCCTCAGGAATGCAAGTCATGAGGAGTACCATTGGCATAATGATGGTGTTAATGTCTACAGATGACGGTTACCATTTTCCATCAGGTAGCCTATTAGCTTGTTTACCACTCTAAGTATCTTAGAAAACAAAATAACATACTGTCACTGAATTAATTCCGCCCAAAGTCAAATGAAGTTGGTTTTAATGTGCAAATATGCAGGTGCAAAATCTATACACATACAGTATTCTGCAGTGCACATGCAGCAACGCAGTGTAAGAAGACCCCCCACTAGAGGGGGGAAAGGGATTGTTAGTAATGTAGACTGAGAATCGCATTGCTAGCAATACACCCAACCAGGTCGACCTCCTTGCAGTTCTCTCTTGAAACTATCATGGTTAATTCCTGATGAATTCATCATGGTGGGCTAACTGGCCTGTTTTCATTCTCATCGATCACCCTTCACTGGTGCTCCGCCATCGTATCCCGTTAGCGCAGGTGGTGTTACTATTCCATTTTCACACATAAAAAAGACCCCCAACTAGATGGAGTGACGACCTGTAATGCATTGCAGGAAATCGGTGAATGCAGGTGGTTCAGGACCGTTCTTTATGGCAGTCTATGGGGGAGGCTTATGTCCAGCAGTGGACGGATAATGGCTGGAATGATGTTCATGATGATGATACTTTGCAACTCTGTCAATCGAATTATATATGTAATCATCTTCTTCATATAAGCCCTTAAACGTCCACTGCTGAACATAAGCCTCCTGACTCCTGACTTTAGAGATAATTTAAAAGGGACTGCTGCCCATCCCTCGCCCTCCCTTAGTC